AGGCGGGGAAAAAAATAATAGCGTCTCGTCGTGCGTAAACACTGTCACACGTATGTGTCAAATATTCCGAGTGAATATCCGCATTTTTACGAAGAAAATCTTGGAAATTATTTCAACCTACTTCTGCGTCTCATTTTTCCAGGTGCTCAAAAACCAAAATTGTATAGCTGATTTGCTTTTGGTCGCTGCTTTATTTATAATTTTTACTGCGATTTTTTTACTTATGGGGTGTTATCGTGGGGTGTTTTTGAATTGATAAGTCACATTCACGTGTTAAATATTAGCTTGTGGGTTTCCAAAACTATTTTCAAGCATTGAAATGATGAAGTGTGTTTACTTGAAAACATGAAATTGGTGACAGCTGCGTGTCAAGTATTTATAGTTTATGCGTCAAAAATAAACAAACATTTTTCTGGGAGTATTTTTCAATTAAATATAATTAGCGAGCTTTTATTTTCAGATTGTCATTGAAGTAAATCACGTTTGAAGGTTTTTTTCGTAGGGAAAACTGTTTCGAACTTTTCGTCCATCATTTAAAACAGAGGTTTTGACAAGTGAGGCAATTGAATAGTCCAAAACCTCATTTCAGTCATAAATAAATAAATAATTAGACTTTGGTTTAGAATCGTCGATAGCATATAAAATATTCGAATAAACATGGTGCAATGAAGTCCAACAATTTCTCATCGCTCGTCATGAATCGGTTCTCTTCGGAACACGCAAAAATAAATTGAAGTATCATAACTTTTCCCAAGTTTTCTTGCAGGAAATGCAAAAGATAAAGATTCTTGGATTGACAAGATTTTTCACGATCAATTATTCCGAGCTGAATCCCTCAAGTCCTCAACAGTTTTCTGCGATGACGTTATCATCATTCCTGTTCTTGTGATCATAAGCGTATTTCTTCCTCTTTTGATTACCTCATATACTCTGGTTCAGAAGAGAGAAGAAGAGTAAAAGAGAGAGAGAGAACCACAAAGTAGGAAGCAGTTGTGCGATGGGTACCTTGGGAATTTTGTTGAGGAAGAAGAAGAAGAAAAATATTTTTTAAATTTAGATGCAACAGACGAGACTCGCGAATAATGGAAAAGCAATCGGAGTTTATATTCCGTGGTTCGCGGATTTCATCCAGGTCATCTGAAGCCCGATTGCACGCAGTAGTCGTCACCTGCGGCGAAACTCCCATCAATCCTCCTCGGGGTTCAGCCGCCGACGTGCATCAGCAATGCATGAGTTCTGCGCAGCGGGGAATATTTCCTTCCCAGCGCAACAAATCCCTGGGTTTTCCTCCTCTTCTTCTTCTTTTTTTTGTCATGCACTCTATTTCCTTTTTTTTTAAGCATATTTTTTATCTATTTCTCCATGTACGAGGGTAGGTTCATAAGTTTTGAAACTATTTGAAATAGATCCAATGGAGTTTCAACCATTCTAAATATTTTTCATTACTAACATATAGCTCCATCATTTGGCAACACTTTATAGTGCTGCTCAAAATACTCTGTGCTGATTTCAATGCATTTTCTCATGAAATAAGTCCCATGATCAAAACAGTGCAAAAAATCGAGTTTGGTTAGTTGATTAGGCTGCTCTTCGTCAATGTCGGAAATGAGGTTTTCCCCCTGTCCTCTTTTAGCCAAAAGTTACAGGGTGCCTCTATAATCATATAACAGAATTTAATTTTTGACACTGTTCTGATCATGGGATATATTGCATGAAACAATCCATTGAAAACGGCGGAGAGTATGTTGAACAGCCCTGAAGTGATGGGGCTTTGCGAGTTGAAAAAGGTAATAAAAAATTTGAAATTGCTGAAACTCCCTTGAATCTATTATTGGGGACAGATGTTGCCTCAATATAATTAGGTGTGTAAAGCAGATCGCAAAGAGTAAGAGTATAAATGGAAAGCAGGAATGAGCTGGGGACAAGGGCCAGAATTCCTTCTTGGAATTCCTGGATTAAGAAGTAAGGATATAAATCAGGGATAAGATCACACAACTTATATTAGCAAGCTCTTACTTCAACTGGATAAACAGATAAGATGATTCTTCTGTATTGATTCTAGGTTCTGCAATTTACCAGCTTGACTATTTATACTTAACCTCCAATAGCCTTTACAAGCCTTTCATAAGGCTTGTCATTTGGTTTTAAGAGGGAGGTTAAACTCTAGAAGATTCAAATCGATTACATCATTAATTTGCTTGCCCAACATGTATATCAGAAAGTCTCATAACTTATGTTTCAACCCTCGCACATGTATTCCTCTCTGCTTACCACGTCTTCGTCGATATTTTGCAAGCAGCAGCAGTCGGGAGTGCGATTATTATTGTGTGTTGCACTCGGCCTCCGTCGACCCGAAAGAATTAGTTGAAAAGCCTCCTTCGAATGAGATCCGAATCTTCGTCTGGCGATGACAAAGGCCATTCTTGAATAACTCGCAATGCTTTGGATTCAGCTCATTACATTCTTGATTCTGCGATGTACACTGTATACATCAGAGGATATTCCCGAAGGTTTTGTGAAATTCCGTTTCCAAACTCAACAAATTGGCTGATCCCATTCTTCAAAGACTATATTGTACTCGGCACGCGAGGTGTGTGGAAGAAAATCTTCCGTGTCTGAACTGCAAACATAGATTCATTGTGAATTTATTGAACTATCAATTCATTATGCTCGAGAGTTGGTGCAAAAATGTTTCCCAATATCACTCCCCAGCTTTGGAGATGGACGAAAGCGAAATACGTTTTCTAGGTCATTTTCAAGCAGAATTTTGTTTTCTCACTGCTCCGAGTTTGTTTTTTGGTTTTACTGGTTCAGGTTAAAATATAGTGACGGAACACAGAGTTGAAAAGTTCATCTCCTTGGAAAAGTTGAGGTCAATTCGTCATGTTTTCATCTTTCATTTATTGATGCATCGATGATGAAATATTAGAGTTATACCCAATTCTAGAAGAAGAAAAAAGTATTTCCTCAAGGATGTGGGAATAACCTTCTTGGAAAGGGGGATTTTTTTTTATTGAAAATTCGCTGAAATTCATGTCCAAAAAAAACTAGCATATTTCGGCAACAGTGCCGAGAGCAGACTTTTCATTGCGTAACAACAAGGCGTGGAACCTGCAGAATTCTTTAAAACAGGTACAGTATGCAATAAAAAGTCTTCCAGCTGCTCAACCCTTTTCAACCCGAACAACCAAAATTCGCAGCCAAAAAAGCATACACACACAAATTAGCATTCAAAGCACATTTATTTCACTTCAAAATCGATTCATTAAAATGCCATTCATTCGGCACAACTTAAACAGCCACAATCGTATCCAAAACGGAAAAGGAGAAAAAAAACCAAAGAAAGCATTCTGTGCGCTGAATATACGGGCTTGATAATCAAGTATGTTCAACACACGTCTGCGATATGAAAAAGAAAAAGCCGCAAAATTTCGGATCAGCACTGTGCAGGCTTATAGCCAAGATTTTTGCGTTGCAAGAACATGTGGATCTCTTTGAATTGAGGCCTTTCTGCTTCGTTCTTCAGCCAGCATTCCCGCATCAGGTCGTACAGCTCTTTCGGGCAATGCGGAGGAACCGCCAGCATCGACTGAAAATGCAGCACTCGAATGAAATCCTACATTCTAAAAATACTACGGGTTTCTCCAACAATTCTTAAAAATGTCCTCGCTGTTCCACAAAATATAAATCCGTTGCATTCTGCCCAGAAAAAAAAATATGAAGAGCAAATTTGCGAATCTTTCTCGTGAGGACTCGCAAATCTGTCGAGAATCTGGTCGTGAGGATTTACTGAAATAATAAAAAATTATCTTGATCGACGTGTGCGTCATAAATCCTCACAGAAAAAAAAATCGGAAAAACCTGCTCAAGGACAGAACTTTGGATCTTTCAAATTCTTCGAAGTTCTCGAAAATTTGTGAGAGGAAATTATAGCGTTAATATTTTGTACGAATGACGGTTACTAAAGGATTCGGATTCAGAGGCGCACGAAGTAAAATAATTTGTTGAATTGCTGAAAATCATCGTAGCTTTCTTCGTCGAGCTTCAGAAATATTTCCAACCACCGTAGGATCATTAGCTAAAATGTGTTCATAAGAGCGTTTTTCAAGGTTTTCTAACTTATCCGGTAGATATATTCACAATTTCTTCCTATGATTTTACATTCTGGGCCAACTTTACTTTTATCAATTTTATGGTTTTTCAACCAACAACTTTTTGTTTTGAAAATCGATGAACATTTTCCATCTGCAGGATCTGCAACGATGGAATTTTTTTCTGTAACGTTACAATTCGCAATTTGTTTCCCCTGTCTTTGATTCCAAAAGTTCTCCACTGTTCATCGCGCAGGAGACGACGAGTGTCATTGCATTGAACGAAAACAGTGTGAAAAAAAATAAAATATGAGCGATACGGATAGTGTTTCACGCAATTCAGCCGAAATGGATTACAATACTGTATAGCTCAGGGGGAAAACAGCAGGAAACTGACCTTGGATTCCCCGGTGCGTTGAATATGCATCAAGTTATCAATCACCAGCTCGTTCGTAAAGCTTCCGTAGGGCAACGACTTGGCCAGTGTCAAAATCTCCCACAACGTGACTCCGAAAGACCAAACGTCACTCTTGACAGACCATCGACCCTGGAAAACGTTGAACAAAGATTTAATTGTACTGTACCTCGAAGCGATCACATTTCCACTGCAGTCCACGGAGTTTCTCATACATATGATGATAAATAAATGCCGTACGAACCACTTGAAAAAAAACCCCGAAACACTCTGTTCTTTTCTTCTTTATTTATATGTCTACGAAATACTTCCAATATTTACAAATAAAATAAATCAGTGGTCTACATAACACGTAGTCCGCGGGAAATTTTTTCGCTCATCATGAATTTATCAAAATTAGTGATGAAGTTATCTTTTATTCGAAATTTGGGAAAGACAATGGCAGTTTAAATTGTATTATGACAAATAAAAATTGGCTTTTCTCCGAATAAAACTCCAGACAAACTTTCACCAGGAGAAATAAATTATTTCGACTCAACATTTCGAGAAACCTTTCAAGTCCACCTTTCTTATTTTTGGAAGACATTTTCCACTATAGCTGCTTCAGCATTGGTTCTTGAACTAAACTTTGCCATAAAAGGTTTTCTTGAAGGGATTTATTGTGAGTATCGCAAAATTTTTACTGGTGTGCAAAATTGGTATGGAACTTTGCGGGTCCGCAGAAAATTGTATGAAAATTTCCGGTCCGTGAAATTTTTTTGGGGAAATTTGCCAGTCGGCGGACCCAAAAAGGTTGGGGAACACTGAATGGGATCAAAGCAAACGTTTGGCTGAACTTTTTTTAAATCTCTGCAAAAAAATCACAAAAATCACGAGTAGATAATTGCAGTGCTTTTCGGCACGCATTAGTGGACCGGTTGGACAAAAAGGGAAAAATAATCGACAATAGACCGATTTTTGAACATGAATACTGTATACTGTATCTCCAGAAAGGTCCAACCTATCACACTGAGGAAAAGGAGAAGTCAAAATTGGCAGTCATTCATTTCTACCTCCATGCAGTATTACAAAATTGCAGAGTAAAACCTAGGCTTTAAAAAACACAGTTCGGAAATACATTTAAAATTAGAACGGAATGGAATCATAAGATGCGACTGAAATGAGCAAATAAGTTGAAGAAATAGGCGCGAACTAGTATGCCCTTGGTCTGAATCATGGTAATGCGTGGTGATTGTTACCCAGAATTATAAGAACACGAATGTTTTCAGATCTTGAAAAAAAAAACAAAGACACAATCCGATTCATTCTGATAAAACTGTATCGACTTCGCAATAAGTCCATTTCAGATTATTATTTTTCAGGCCTTTTTTGAAACGTTGATGGAAAATTTTATTCCGAGCACAAAAGAAACAGTCCATTCCTTCGTCCAAGAAATGCAAGAATAACGGTACTGCACCGGAGCAGCGGGTTTTCAAGAAAAAAAATTCGATTACGAGCCGGTCACGAGTGAAAAACAGATTTCGCGTCATCATTCTGCCACATTCATTCAGCTTTGAAAGCTGCAGTTCACGATCGCACTTGGACAGACTGTATCTCCTGAAAATCACTTTATACTGTATCGCGAAGCACGACGGTAATATCGGGTCGACACGCCACGTCATGGATTGATTCAGCGCAGTCAAATCCGCAAATTGATAAAAATAATCCGCTATTGATTGTCCTCGGCTTAACGGGATCCGCAGTACAGACATACTAAATTTCCGCGGTAAACCATCTGTTGTTTTTTTTTTTTTTTTTCAAAGCACGGTAATGCCGCAAACGACCAAAACATCACAAACTCGTCAGGTACACTATTAGCAATTCGAAATACGATTTGTTTTTGCTATCAAAGAAAACGTTACCGACGAAAATTTACGTGAAAATAACGCGGAGGTCCAAATGTGCGTTTTGTTTTCGCTGGACTCCTGAGTTTTGCCTTTAGAGAAAAAAAATTCAAAATAACGTGAAGGGTTAAGAGGACTTTTATTTCACCTTTGGTAAATAGAAAGCTATTTGTGCGCATACATTTTTTCATTCCCCGAAAGAAACTTCAGATTACTGTACTGGTAGATTGACGATTACACGTAAATCACAGCTTCGAAAGACGAAGAAAAAATTGAACGTTCATTTTCATTTTAGAAGCGAACAGTACTGTTTGTAATCTTATAATCAACAGAAGAAGGTCTAGTTTGTTACTTCCGTAGAAAAATTCGGCAAATCAGCATTTTAAAATTTAAAAGGACTAAAATGACGTTTGAATCTCAGATTCGATCAAATCGATCAAAGAGTTTGAACCAATAATCAAAGGAGCACAGAAGTTCGCGTGAAATCTCAGGGTTACTTTAGCAGAATCCACTTTGTGCAGGAAGATTCGTCACTGATCTGTACAACCAGCGAATTTCTGGATGGATTGTAAATCATATTCAATTATTGATCGTCAATGATTCATATTCATTATATAAGAGTCAATTGAGATGATTTATCGGCCCATAAAACACCTCTCTTCCTCGCATTAATGCTAAATAAATTGTAAAATGGTGCGACGATATGCAAAAATAGTATCCATAAATATTTTTTCTCGATTTGAAAAAATCAATTCTGCATAGTAGGAAGAAAAATTCCAATTTTCCCCTATCGCAGCAAGTCACGATTATTTTCAAAAAAAGACAATTTCCTGAAGGAATACTAATTTTAAAAATACAGTAAAACCAAGCATTCATAAAAAAACCGACGTACTTACGAGCATCCCGGAAGGTTCCAATATATTTTATACGTTACAATCCTAATTTTTACGCCACGCTGTTCACTGAATATAATTTGCAGAACTATAAATATCTCATTTCCGGAATGTAAAAAAACGATGCATCATAATAACTGCTTACATTTTCTTGTCTCGTTACTTTCCCGCAGATGCACAAGAAATGTACATACGAGGGTTCTAACAAAAGTTCTCGGAGTAGCAATGAAAATGGCCTACAATTGAGCTGAAAAAAATTTATTCTCTAGCCAAAACATATTCTTCGGCACACAAAAAAATCAGCCCGGTTTGACAATTTTTTTCAATTTTTTTGCAAAATTCATCCATATAGAGTTTTGCTATCCACTCAAAAAATGAGGCAGAACCAAGGCCACGCGAGAATTTGCATTCAATGGACAACCGAATTCGTGTCGCTCGTAAGAGGAGCTCATCTTCCCTTATTCCACCATCCGAGAAAAGAGCGGGAGTCGTTTTTGGGACCGGCTGACAATTTTTTTCAATTTTTTTTGCAAAATTCATCCATATAGAGTTTTGCTATCCACTCAAAAAATGAGGCGCCCTTTTTTTGTTGTAGCCCAGCTTTCCCCTCAGAATTTTTGAAATCAACTTGGCATTCTTTCTAAGGATTGCCTCCAGGTCATCCAATGCAATTCCGCCATTTTTGTCAACAGCCGCCTTCACAGCCGCCAAAATGGCGGCCAATGTGGCGGCTGTGAAACCGGGCTGATTTTTTTTTGTGTGCCAAAGAATATGTTTTGGCTAGAGAATAAATTTTTTTCAGCTCAATTGTAGGCCAATTTCATTGCTACTCCGAGAACTTTTGTTAGAACCCTAGTAAGAGTGATAAGAGGCGAAATAAATGAACAGTTAATCACGACTGTACATCAACATGCACATACAGTGTATTCTTTGACATTGAAAGAAAAAGAAAACGCGTTCGTACAGAATTCATTATTAGTGATAACCTGTCATTCAAAGGAGCGGGAATAAAGAGGTTTGACGAAGTCCTTTCATAGGAGACAACCTGATGTGGTCATGAAACTCATGACGCAAGAAAATTTGCAGGGAAGGAAGCACTTCAACCTAGGGCACATAAAACAAAACTGCAGTACAGTACTCGAATCAGTAAATCCGCGAGGAAAGAGATTGCCCCCTTTTTTCAATAAAAAATAATAGGAAAGAAGAAACAGCTAACGTTAAACACTGTCTCCTACAAACGTATAGAGAACCCAGCAACCCAGTTTACGTCTTCAGCTTCATCTGAGCTGCTTTTATATCAGGTCCTCTTTCGCCCTATGTTTCCTCAAGAGGGTGCCCTCTCATTGAAACACGTTTCTATACGGTGGATGGAACACCATCACCGAATAGAAACATGCCCAGGTCATTTCCACCAGAAATACTGTCGTTATACATCAAAATTACGACTTACAGCCATGATGGACTCCCAGGCCATCCAGCGAACAGGCAGCAACGGGCCGCCTTCGGTACGGTAGTAGTGAGACGAAAACTCTGGCTGACACACGGCCAAGTCCGTGATCTTCACGTGGCATCCGGGACAGTACTCGGCGTACTGCAGTACGGCAGCCGGCGCCGCCGAGTCGCTCACGAGTCCCACGACCTGGGCGATGTTCACGTCGCGCAAACTCGTCAGAATGTTGAGTTCATCCATGAAAGTGGACCTATAAGTGGGTTGTCAGAATGCGAGGTAGGAATATTTCAGACGAATGTGTAAACTCCACACGCATTTTACACTTGCTGGACTAACGGAGACCAGAATGGATGCAATTTAGAAGAGCAACTCTCATAGGAGGGTGAGCCCATTCAATAACTGATGCACTATAACGACGAGTAAAAAGGGAGCTTATCATATGAGGAATTGATCAGGAGAGGCAGCACATGAAGGAGTAAATTCAGCAGCAAGAAAATAAGTTCATGAAAAAAACAATGGTTTCAGAAAACGAAAAACATACTTTATACGAGATTCGTGGCAGCACAGCAGAAAAAACGCGCCATAATTAATTGCAACTGCTAAAAAACAGAATACAGACTATATAGATTTTAAAAAATTTACTTGATTGCCTCAGGATCCGAAGATCGAAGTACTGTTTCATATTACAATAGTTTATATCATGCTTCAGCTGGTTAAAAAAAATCCCCGATTCTCAGCAGACCAGCGCAAATTGAGAATAGTTACCTGTACCTCAGAACTGCAAAATCTTAAATAAATACGGCAAAATAAATACAGATATTCAAGGTCATTCATGGCGAAATGCTGTGCAGAACTTCACTCACCTTAAAAGCTCAGTTGCTCCGCCATTCAGTGACTTGACAGCCACCATTTGCTTTCCCACCACTCGGCCGGCTTCGTCTGGATGATCCTCCAAAACGCATAGACTGACCTGCAAAAATCAAAAATCGGTTTCTTTAAATCGAGATAATGGCTCATCTATTTTTGCGGAAGGATCTTATAGAGCTAAAATCTGTGACAGAGCACCTCACGAGAATAAGTGCATTTCACAATTACTGTAACTTTAAGCGAAATTCCCACGAAGCTAGGGTATATATTGGCAAGAAAATTAAAGATTAAATTTTGACTGCAATATACAGTGGGGCCTCAATCAAGCAACGTATACAGCAAGGATTGCATTCCTAAAAAATTCGTATCAGATTTCGTATCAGATATTAATCGCATGGGAAACATTTTCAATTGAATTCAGTAATGGGGTCAGTGATTGTCTACTAAGTTCAATTATTGATCGTCTATTGGTCGTTTCGTTGCACGATTTCTAACGCGAAAATGAAATATAGTGAGAATAATATAAAGCAATAAATATACTGTAAGGCACTGCTATATAGCATGCCTGATCATTAAAATCTTTAAACAGGTTGCATGTTAACAGAACACTATATGCAGAAGTTCCAGCAGAATTCTTGGACATAAAAAGATCAAACTCAGTCGTGCTAGCAATATAAAAAGAGAACTTTCCGTTAGGAAGCATTTTATAGAAAGTACATATAGAAGTATATACATTTCATTTTAGGGTGCATCATATACTGTACCAGCTCAAGTGTTCCTTATTGTAAGAAACACATAATTTCAATTACTTTTTGCACTGGAAGCGCGCGTTTTTCAAATGGATTATCATTGCTTTAGTCGCGCACAGCACTTGCGTTCACAAAAAATTTTGAAAATACTGGAGGCGCCGGGTATCGATCCCGGTACCTCTCGCATGCTAAGCGAGCGCTCTACCATCTGAGCTACGCCCCCGACGTTGTACCACACTGGAAGTTTTTCTCTATTTGAACGCGCATGACCTCACACATTAAGGCTAACCTCAAATTCAGGGAACAATCGGCAACTCAGCACTAACCTCTCCGAAGTCTCCGTCACCGAGTTTCCGGACGAAATGGATCTTGTGTTTCGGAATTCTGGACACGAATCCCACTTGCATCGGCTTCGCAGCAGGCGACCCCGACATGAGCAGGTTATTGTTGATGTTCGGCGAGTCCACTACCGTCTGCAACAGAGGAAAAAAGAAGAAGAATGCTTGAGTGAGCATAGTGCGACTGATTGTGAAACTTGTTCCCGCGGACAAGGAAGAGTTCAGAAATAGTAACCGAACGCGTTTCCTCGTAGCAATGATCAATCATCTTTTGACTTTTAACAAACACAGCAGACCACTTAATGCCTTCAGATTATTCAAGCAAATCATTCCGAAATAACTTTATAATTACGAGAAAGACATCGACGCACAGGAAGAGGAAAACTCTTCTTCAAAAACAGCTACATATGATTTAGCAGAATATCGTACTGCACTAAAAGTCTTACAACAGGCGTAGGAGACGGTCCAGCAAATTACTTACAACCTTCTTCTCACGTGAAATTTCGAATCTTTCCAAGATTAGACCTTGATTTTAACAAAATTCCGGAAATATGAAGAGCAGCGCTTTGAAAATTAAGTTGTAAGATCAGAAGTTTATTTCATGATTGCATGAAAACCGTGTTTTCTAGACGAAAAAATAAATAAATTGCATGATTCAGGAACGTGAACTTATCCGAAGATTGATTAAAATTAAACTTGAATTAAGAAAAGAGCTCAGCTTTGACTCCAATTGCATGAAATAAAATATAACTGCATTTAAGAAATGTAAAACTCTAGAATGATCTAATTTCACAACTTTTTAAATCTTCAAATAGGACCACAAAAAATGGAACGATTTCAAAAAATTGCAACTCGTGATCATTAAAAACATGAAATGAAAGCTATTCCAATTTTCTTTGTTTTTAAAGTCTCTTCTATTGTACTGTATGTTCCTATCACCATCATAACGATTTAAAAAAATATATAAATATATTTTCCAAGATTTTTAAATTTGCTTTCGGCGAGAGATTTCTAAATCGTAAAAAAAAGTCATGTTAATGCTGACCGGTACTGCGTGAAAGGGCAAATAATTTACGTAAAAGGGTTGTTCACATTCGTAAAAATTCTCTGCGTAAAGTTATTTTCTTCAAATTTGAATGCCGCACCTTATTGGCCATTTATCAAATACTGTACAATTAACGGCTTGGAAACAATTCCCATGCTCGATTTCTATAGCTTCTTGATTTTGTGGGAAATCATTGATTTCTCACCTCACGCTTCCCGGTATGAATGTCGTAAGTGTCGTAGGCCTCAACAGCCGGCGGCGGCGGCACTGATGGCGGCGGTGGCGCCGGAATGAGGAGGCCAACGTTGATATGCGATTCAAAATTGATTTGGTTCCTTCTTGGGTTTTAAATTGCTATCGTCGTCAAGAGCTTGAATCTTTCCTCTATTCGACCAACATCAGTTCAATTTTACAGCGAATCAAACACTTTTAATGTGCTTATTTGTTCCTGCGTTTTTCAGGTGAATCATGGCATATACATGTACTGCATTGCTTATGTCAGGGAAAAACGCCATAATCTTCCGCCCTAATAAGGATATCTGATGGAGCAAAGAAAAATACGGCACTAAAGGGGATTTACAAAATTCCTTTCTAAACTTTCAAGCCAGAGGTTGCAGACTAGGGAAATGTTCTTCACACGTACTGCGGGAAACTCGAAATTCCAATTCAAGGCTTCTTCTAGAAGCAGCAATACATATTAATTTTACATATTCTTCAAGAATTTTTAGTTTTTCAAACTTTTTTCCCCAGCTGAAACCAAATTAAAATATGGACAAGGTTCAGCCGGGATATGAATTTATTGCTGTTTACAACCACACACTAGCGGTATTTTGGTTGGCATCAGAAGCCAGCAGGTGGGGATAAAAATACTGTAATTCTTGCACAGTAAGAAAAATGATGCTTGATAAAGCGATGAAGCAAGCCGATGATGAGCACGGTGTGAGCAGGAAATGAATATTCAAAGTTTGATTGCCGCGAATGATGACCAAGAAAAATTGTGAACAAAAACTATCCATATAGAAAACGAAATACGTTTAGGAAAAGTGGAAGCAACCATTTGATCAAGGGTTCATTCTGCTGCGGAATGTATTACAATTGTTTAATATCAAATCCTGTTCTTGGAGAAAATCTTAAATTCTTCAAAAAATACCCTCAAGGGAAATCAGCAAAACAAAACGAATCCTGCAAGAAATTAGTTCGGATGTGATCATTTCAAGAAATCCAAGTATTTGCTGTGTATGGAGTCCATCAGCTTTGAAACTCGACTTGATTTCCTTTTTTACCAGGCGGTGAGCAGGTATTGTGAAAACGTTTCGGACCTTTGGGGGTCACTATTTTGTCATTTTTAACATTTTTTTGCAAGCAAATGAAGAAGAATGAAGTACTGTAAATATAATTCTTTCTTCGGTGAACTGGCGACATCGTCAAGCGTATTGCAACAAGCAAGCTAGTCAACTCCGATTACGCAAGGAATATTTTCGTCGTGTACTAAATAATACCGATCGGGTTGCGTAAATACATCATTTATGTCTATGATAGAAACATACCAAACATTCTCCAACTTCGATACGCGGCAAATGCCAACACGCATTTGTTGGTATACACCGTGGATTGCATTTAAGGCGATGATGTAGAGCTAGTATCATTTATTCTCGATGGACTCTGAGAGATCCGTGAAGAATGGAAGTCGGGGACAAAACTATAGGAACAATGCCAAGAATTAGGCATTGAGATTTAAGTTGCTCAAGTCATGAAAGCATGTTCGCGTGAATGCCTCGAATTCCGCCTGGGCTCGGTCCATCAATAGCATTCACATGAATCGGAGAACACGTGAACCGAGGATGATAGAACACGATAACAGGTAAGCACTGTACAGTATTGTGTAGAGTAGATGATTAATAAATAATAATGAATCATGCTCACCGAAGAATTTCAGTAGCTCCAGCACTCAAGGATTTCACTGCGACCATTTGCTTCGAGGATGAGCGCCCTGGCTCGTCAGCATGGCAATCGAGAAGGCACAGGCTTACCTGAAAATCGAGTAAAAAGAAAAAAAAACCTGCCTTAAAACGTGCATGAAGCAAAGCTGAATGTGCAAAACAGAACCTTGGAGGCGCCGGGTATCGATCCCGGTACCTCTCGCATGCTAAGCGAGCGCTCTACCATCTGAGCTACGCCCCCAGCTGAAAATCAGTGGGCTATTTAGCGATACCTGAACCCAAGAAAATTTTTTAAAAAAAGTCAAGAACTTTACTTTGAAGTACTGCACAGTAAATTTACTTCTAGTCTTCATTTCTGCGTCAGCTGTACATACTTTGATAAGGACTCGGTCGTTTTTCTGCAATTGCATAGCAAAGGGCTCCGTCATAATGGGATTTCATCATCGTAAGAAAAATGGTTCCGCGAGAGTCAAAAAGTAAGGGATCCCGTGCCCGTCAATTCAGTACAGTACAATGATGTCGAGAATATTCCAGAAGTTCAAAACGCACCTCTCCGTAGTCATCCATGCCTAGTTTGCGGACGAAGTGAAGGTTTTTCCTGTCGACACGAGCCAACCTTGACGAGTCCATGGAGAACTGCCGACGCGAAGAACAGCCAGGAGTCCAAGATGGCACTCGCTTGGAAGGTGTCACTCCGCTCGTCGTCGACTGAAAAACACGTTTTTACCATTACCAATCCAATGCCTAAAATTACGCCATCAGCGCAGGTTTCTTCCTTCGTGAAATATTAATATTAATTTCGCATTATTAATTTTATTTTATTTTCTGCGATGACGCTTTTGATTTCCTGTCGACTTTACGCGCACATAAGTAGCGAAACTTCGCGAAGAAATTTCTGCTGGATATTATTGATTTTGTTCTTCCAAGTTCAAAGAAAAAATTATAGCCTTCCGCAATGCGAAGGCTCATGTTGCCAACATGGAAACACATCAATAAGGCTCCAGTGAATTTAATTTTGTCTTTTAAAATTTCAGACGCATTTCAATGACTCAATGTTATGAAAAAGTTGCAGGGTGAAATCTTATCTTGAAGGTTAAAACGGAGAAGGGCGTTTAATTTCTGCTTGAAATTCAATATTTGGCACACCAATAGTCTTCTGGAACAAACAGACTTTTGTGCGAATCCAACAACTGATTTTAATTTGGCCTCATAGCTATATTAAGCCTCTACACTGTCTACAGTATATAGGCTCATGACCCAAAGCCAGTAAAGTACTAGACAGACAAATGAACCGAATTTCTCCCTGTGATGAAGCGCATACCTCAAGAAACGTTAATTACCTCAGCACAATGTTTTCTCGAGACAGTCCAGACCAGTGTACATTTTCTAAAAGAAGAACGAAGCACCATTGTTCGGAGATCTCGCCTCGAAACTGGGTTGAATGGACGTCAGAAATTCTATCCATTTTGGTTCAGCACAGAATGATGGAAGCCTCTTCTGAATAGGTTTTCGGCCACAATGGACACGGACTACCACGGATTTTTTGTGTGTGCCCCCGGATAGGACATTTTACAGGAGATTATCTCTCCAAAATACTGTTTTTTTGAATTCCGTTAAAATTGCACAGAAGAAATTTCACGTCAGTAAAAGGAGACCGTGTTTCGTGGAAACTTCAACCTTTCCTAAAAGGACGAGATCGCAGTTGCCTTCAAATAATTGACTTTTGCTGATGAAATAATTTTTCAAGATGAAATATCCTCGTGTTCTCGTCTGTGTTGACCATTATTATATTCCTTGCTCCTGCTCGTTTTTGCTGCAAA